CTATAATAACTAATAAACTGACAACTAATAAAGATCGGGAAAATAAATAATCTAAACTCGAAGACGGTCATATTTCTGCATAAATGCCAACGCGGCCTCGTCTCCATCAGTAGCCAAGGGCGTTCCCTCATTGGGTCTTGCTTTGGTATCCTCCGGTGTTTCGCAACTGTTCCCACCCTTACCTCGGTGTTGAAGTTCTTGGAAGAGCACAGTCTGGACCGAAGATTGACACTTTGCCAATCTGTCTAGGTTGTTCGAGCTCAACTATAGTTTTTGGATCTGGGGTTTTAGTTTGCTCTTTGGTTTTTTTTTCAAACGATAGGAAATTCTCATAGAAACCAACAAATCAACGTTTCGTACACAACCTCACGAGCCTACCAACGGGTTGAAAAGAAAACTGAGAGACATACTAACAAGCAGTGGTCTAGATAAACCCACCCGGGGTATCAAGTAGGTACATGCACCTGAACCTTGATTACTCCAACCAAACAAACAAGTACTAACAGACACAACCATCCTAAACAACAAGCAGCTAAGCAGCACAAAAACTCAACCTGAAAAGAACAAAAAGTCTAACAGCAACAAAAGCTAGAACAAAGCACACAAAAGCCTGCTCAAGGAGACAACAGCTATCCCAGGTCCCTGAACTCCTGCCACTCGCTTAAGGCTCTTTTGAGGATGATAGTTTCAGGGACTCTTTCCTTGCAAAACACGCACAGGTTCTGAGATCGCCAGAGCAACCATAAAATATAAGTTGAGAGTTGTATCCTTGCCTCCGAGGTTTCTGATTTTTTGATAGCACAAACCTGCCACCACCAAGATTTGAAGTTAATTTCCTGCAGATGAATACCATCCCAAGAAACAGGAGCCAACTTCCAAACAGTCCTGGCTAGGTTTAAGATGGGTCTTATTCGATGTGTGATTCGGTTTGCTCTTTGGTTGAGTTACTGTGTTGTGATGTGTGATTCGGTTTTTCATACGACATGTTGTTCAGTTTACCTGCTAGGTTTAAGATGGGTCTTATTTGACTTGTTTATTAAGATTGCGTCGTTTTTTTTTTTGTCTTTCTTTCTTTTTTGTTCTGTTTAATTCGGTGGTGTCTGGTTTGTAGTCTCCTTTTATGGAATTAGTGTCTCATTTTTTTAAGTTTTGTTTTGTTTTCGTTTGTCTTCTAGATAAGTTTGTACCATCTTGTGTGTTTACAAGGGGAGTTGGTCCAGATATCGTTTTGGTTCTTTTAGTGTAACTGACACTTTGTTGGGCTCAGATGCGCAATGCGGAAGATGTAAATTAAAATATTAAGGTAAAATGGTGAACAATAATCTCAATCCCAGCAACTCAAGAATGACAAAAGAAAAATCTCTTGCAATAAAACAGGAATAATTCTTTTCTGATGTGGAAGATCTGATTAAACTGCGACCACATAGCATACTAAGAATATCCCAAATAAATAAAATATGCAAGAAATAAGACACCAAGATTTAACGTGGAAAACCCTCCAAATAGAGGAAAAAAAAACCACGGGACAACCTCCGAACAATTTCACTATATTTTCAAGATAATTACAATATCTTTTCACACTCCCTTACACTAGAAATGTAAAATATAGTGACCCAGTGAGAACTCCACTCTTAAACAAAGAGTAATAGAGTTGATACCCAACCCGGTGTATTTTTCCGACACTTACAGGATTTACTCAAACACTCTATTTTTATCTCACTGAAAAATAACACTCCAGAAA